CTTTACCCGACAGCACCTGGACCTTTGAGAGCCAGCAGGTGAGCAGAAAACTAGCAGTCGTTGTGTGATAAGTGTATTTACAAATATGGCTGAACAGAATTCACAAAACGCCAATTTTATGCATCTCTTTGCATATCTGTGTCCATTAAATGAGTGTTGTGTTTCTCTGTAATGGAAATCAAATCACACAATTTTGGTATAAAGTTACTGTCGAGTACATTCATAACCTTTGGTCAACACCAGGGTTGCGATTCCAGCTCAAAAACTACTTGACAGCACTTTTTTTCCCTACACGATCATGTTTTATCACTTTTGTAAATTAAGCTATCGGTTTAGATTGTATTTTAATATTTAGGCTGTGTAATATAATATTGCGTACATCACATGTTTAAGAAAAAGTAATACTTCTGTAGAAAAAACGTTTTTTGTGATCTTTTATTTCGATGAATGATTATAAACCTAATACAAAACATCAACTTAATATTGCATTGCCTTATGTGAAAACAATGTTTTCATTTTCAATTGAAATGTTCAGCTTAAACTAGTTTGTGTGCTATATATATAGCTTTCGCTAACTTTCTGTGGTCCATTTTTAGAAACTACACTCTGTTACAACATTGCAACAATGATACTTTATTATTGATATGTCAACCCAAACAAATCATTGCCCTCTGATTTAGGCTACATGGCCTGTATCTTTAAATTGTCCTCTTCGTGGCATTTTATAGCTTGTTTTTTATTTATTTTTATTTGTACGTATAATGAAGCCCATTTTTAACTTCACATCTTCCCGTCTGATTTACGTGAGAGGGGACAGACAGTTTAGAAACTATGCCCCCCTGCGGATACAAATAGCATTGCTATAAATAACAGCAGCTTGACACACATGCTGTGTTTTGATAATGAGGAGCTCTCTCTGAATTTTTAAACGATATAACAATAACATAATTATATCATCTTTTCTCCATATGTTTTTCTTGGATTAGGGCAAATCAGTCATGGCATATTCCTCTGTTGTTCCGTTGGCATTGTCTTCTCAAACTTTTACAATGAGAATTAAGTTGATACTTGCCTGCCAGTGGAAGTGGAGTCACTGGAAAGTTTTCACTCTGTGTGTGTGTGTGAGCTGTGTGACAGAGCTGGTCCAGCCCTGCCCTCCAATGGGGGGAAGGCCTCTGTGGCCTCTCCCCGCCCATGTGTGGAGTGAGGGAGAGACAGAGCAGGGAGTTTCAGCGAGGGCAAAAAATACTTTGATTTTCGTCCTCGTTTTTTTGTTAAAATACGGCCGAAATGATCACATCAAAACTTCCCATCGCTCTATTTTTAAAAAGGAAATGTTTATCATCAAGCCTGGCCGCCTCGTTTTAACATTACTATGGATACGTTACGGTGAAAGAAGAAGTTAAAAACTTTCCAATTATCCGATCCTCGGAGCGCAGCACAATGGACTCCAAACAGAGGAAGCGCTCTGGAGGAGGGAGGCTGTGGAGGCTTTGCTTTTATCTAGCTTGCCTCCCCTGTGCCTCGGCTCAGCTCAGCTATTCCGTATCGGAGGAACTAAGCCCGGGCTCTGTCGTTGGGAATATCGCTAAAGATTTGGGTCTTACTGCTCAGGGGATTGTTCAAAGGAGATTGCGGGTGGTCTCGGAATCCACAACGCAGTATTTTGAGGTAAAGCAGGCGACCGGCGATTTGGTCATCAAGCAAAAAATTGACAGGGAACAATTGTGCGAACTAAGTTCAGCTTGTTCACTACATCTTCAACTACTTCTGGAGGAACCTTTAGACATTCATCGCGTTGTGGTGGACATTATGGATGTGAATGACAATGCGCCGCAGTTTTCAACCAGCAACATTTCTCTGGAGATATCAGAGGCGGCCGCTCCAGGCACAAAGTTCCGTTTGGAGAGCGCACACGACCCAGACGTGGGTACCAACTCGTTACGCACTTACCATCTCGCAGCGAATGACTTTTTTATTTTGAATGTGGAAACTAAAAGTGACGGCAGTAAGTTTCCAGAGCTACTGGTGGATAAACCTTTGGACAGGGAGACGCAGGCCTCGTTTCGCCTTTTGCTCACTGCTGTAGATGGGGGTCAGCCGGTGAAATCTGGCTCAACACTAATGCTCATTAAAATTCTGGATGTAAATGACAATGCGCCCGTCTTTGACGAGCCGGTAAAGAAAGTTAGGCTTTTAGAAAATGTTGCACGGGGCACTTTAGTTACGAAATTGAACGCGACTGACGCGGATTCGGGTAACAACGGAGAAATATCTTTCCTTTTTAGTAAGTACACACCGGAACGCGTTCTCAACCTTTTCAGTGTGGATTCTAAAAGCGGGGAGATCCGTGTGAAGGGTGATGTGGATTACGAGAAAGCCACTGCATACCACATCACAGTGCAGGCCAGAGATGGTGGTTCCCCCGCTATGGAGGGATCGTGTAACGTCATAGTGGACATCATTGATGTGAATGACAACGCACCAGAGGTGACACTGACAAAAGTGACCAGTCCTATCAGAGAGGACTCGGCACCAGAGACAGTGATAGCGCTCATAAGTGCACGGGACCTGGACTCTGCTGTAAATGGGGAGGTTACATTAACTGTCCAACCAGGTTTACCATTTAAACTTAATTCAGCTTTTGGCATGCATTACAGCCTCACCACTGCTGGAAACCTGGACCGTGAGACTGTCCCAGAGTACACAGTGGTCATCAAGGCCACTGATGCCGGTTCCCCTCCCCTTTCATCACAAACCACCTTTGTGGTGAAGCTCTCTGATGTAAATGACAATGCTCCCACCTTCTCTCAGCCTTCATACTCTGTGGACATCCCAGAGAACAATGCTCCCAGTGCCCCCATCGCTGCTGTTTCAGCCACTGACCCAGACCTTGGTGACAATGCTCGCATCTCCTACTCTATCTTTCCCAGCATGGTCCAGGGCTCACCCATCTCTTCTTATGTCTACATTAACCCAGAGAGTGGCCACATCCACAGCATGCGCTCTCTGGATCATGAACAACTTAAAGCTTTCCGTATTGAGGTGCAGGCCCGGGATGCTGGGGTGCCTCAAAGGACAGCCAACGTCACGGTGCATGTATTTGTGGTGGATGTGAATGACAATGTGCCAGTGGTTGTACACCCCTCCTACCCAAAAGACAAAGGATTACAGTTCACTGTGCCCCCATCTGTGGGCCCAGGGCACCTCGTAAATAAACTTGTAGGGGTGGATGCAGACAGTGGGCACAATGCATGGTTGTTCTACTCAATCGCCTCTGGACCAAATGCTGGCATGTTCCGCATTGGGGCACACACCGGTGAGCTCCGCACAGCCCGCAAGTGGGCAGAGGATGAAGAGGGCTCAACTTATGACATCATGGTCATCATTCAGGACAATGGTGACCCGCCGAAGTCCACTTCTGTGAACATTACAGTAACTGTGGATGAGAAGGGCACGACAAATGATGCTCCAGCAAGACCTCGTCACACACCTTTCTACCATCGCACTGGGATGTCGGACATCACTTTGTACCTCATCATCTCTATAGCCTGTGTATCAGCTGTGTCCTTTATCACTTTTGTCATCATCATGGTACGTTGCCTAAGGCACCGTGACCCAGGGCTCGGAGAGTCGGACTGCTGCTGCTGCTACGGTCGTCACAGGACCAGCCGCTACCATCAGAGGCCAAGCAAGGACCTGCATCTGCAGCTCAATACCGATGGACCCATACGCTATATGGAGGTTGTGGGTGGCTCCCAGGACCCGCACACACGCACCTACAGGCCCTGTTACTCCACCTTATCCAGCCGGAGTGACTTTGTATTTATGAAGACACCCATGCTGAGTCAAAACAACACGCTCAACATGACACTCAGCAGGAAGCACCTTATGAACTCAGCCAATGAGGTGAGGGATTAGAGCAAGCATGGCATTGGTGGGATATGCCAATGTGGGATAAGACCAATTCAGGTGTTTCAGTATCTATGGGTTTAAGTATTTCAAGAAATGTTGTTCACATGCAGTGTTGATATTGTAATAGTATATATGTATACAACGCATGGGTTAAAACCACAGTTTTGTCGCTTTAACTCTTGACAGTAGAGTCCTAACCTTGATTCCCTATGTCACGAAGCTCTGCAGTATTTTGAAACCTCATTTGTTTTATCAGGAGGATCTATCTATCTATCTCGCTCTCTCTCTTCAAACACACACATGGTGAATCAGCTTCGTTGTCCTACTAGACCGGTTTGGGCAGAGTAAAGAACATCATAATATTTAATCTCACCTGAGGCTAGGAAATGTGGTTACTATATCTGCCTTCCAGTAACTAAACAACAGAGAGGAACTGTTCTTTATGGATAGAAAGTTACAGATAATGTCAGGCAGAAAGACAGTAGTTGGAGAGGAAATGTCAAAGGAGGTGGAAACCTAAGTGCTCCTAACAGATGGAGAGGAGGAGACAGACAGATGAAAATATCCTGCAGTGTTGGCTCAGTGTGGCTGGGAGACAGAGGGGAACAGGATGACAGAGGGAGAGATGGGGGTGAAGGAGAGGAAAAAGACCAAGGAAAGAAAATGGTCAGAGGGATGGGGTGGGGGAGTCAAAGAATAAAGCAGTAGCTGAAAAACAGGAATGCATGGGGTCAGTGGCTTGACCCCTGACTTCCTGTTGTCCTCTGAACTTTTGGTGATTGGTTCCAGGACTCTGCAGCACATGAGTGAGGATTTTGTTCACTGTGTAAATTCTGCACATACATTTTTACTTTTCATTCTTACATCCTTGATCAGCAATTTTTTCCATGTGTTCAGAGTGGGGTGTGAAGCAAAGCTATAACCAGTTAATAATCACATGCATACGACACAGACTCAACTCAGAGTTCATCCTTAACCATGTCATGTGTAATGTAGAGTTTGATTGAAGATCATTATTGTTGCTGTGGTGTTTTACCCCTCAGGTTTCTCATGAATCTTTATTACACAGACAC